TTAAAAGATAACTTCATGATATTCTTCCTATGTTAAAATTTTTACTGAATTAAATAAAACTTCATCTCATAATAAAAAAAATATATATCACTTTTATTATGTTACTACATTGCATTTGTAAAAGCTTTTCTAGTATTGGGTTTGTTATGCAAGCTATGTCCTACTAAACTATTTTTATGTTTTTTAATGTATCATTAAAAAGATTTGAATTGGATTTAAGATTTCACATCAACGTCAGGTTTGGAACTTTACACATTCCTCCATGGGGACATTTTATTTTATACAATCCATCCATCCATCCATTTTCTTCCCCTTAATCCTTTTCTGGGTCGATCTGATTATTCTGTTTATCAAAGTTGACTTGTTATCATGATGTAGACTTATAAATTATCCACATTTTTCAAAGCAACTCACTACCGCCAATAGTGTGTGTCTGAAAGAAAACCAAACAGCAATAAAGTCTCTACTGTTTACTTTTTGTTATTGCTCTAAAACGAACAGAAAAATTACAACAAACTCATTGCACTTCTGATCTCGGGAACCTATAACTGAAGAATTTCTGCCAGTTTTAGTGTCATTTCTCAACATGCGTTAATGAGAAAAATCTGTATTCAGGCACTTCACTGAGTAAACAACCATTATAGACGATAAACTATTTGCAACCTTTCAATAGATCCCCTTTAGCACTCTATGCAGAAAAGAAAACATTACTGTTGTAAAAGGGAATATGACATCAGGGGGATACCGGTGGGGTGCTGGGAGGAGGATCGTGAATGCCAGCTGTCCTGATGCCTTCCTCCCATCTGTTTGAACCCAAACATATAACTGGCATCTTACCTTCAGCTTATTTAGCATACACACACACACATACACCCGCACACACACATACTGGCAATGCTTCTGACACCCGCAGCATTAAGCATCTGCAGGATTGGGCAGGAGAACCAGGCCGAATCCCAGTTACTTCCATCACTGCATCACTTATCTAAAGTCCGGCCTCCTGCTAAACCAATCTTACTTCTATGAGCGTATTTATAAAGCATTAAAACCAGAATTCTTGCCAATTCCAATTCATATCAATTAAATAAGATGCATGTAAACCTGTGTGCACCGATCGATTAGCAAAAAAAACGGTCAGTTTGGAGCAATTGGATCAAACCGTCTTCACTCCGGTTACGTTGGCTGGTAATCACTAAGACCAGATACTTCTGAGACAAGGACAGCAGATACATTCAAGAGCATAGGGAAAAACCATGCCTATATTGGAAATATATATATTTGACGCATTCTCCTGTTGTTCTCAACTAATATACAGTTCTTAAACACGTGCAGTTTTTCATTTTTTTTGTTTTGTTACGTGCGGCAAAAGTGGTAAAACGGGATTCTTTTTTATGCGCTACAGAAAAAAAATGACTTGTGCTGCTTTAGTTGAGCATGAAAATTGTATGCTATTACAAATGCATATGCTGTATGTATGATTGCAAAGTTACAAGACGCCTTTGAAAGCATTGTGAGGCTTCCCTGGACCCATGAAGACAGGACCGAAACTGGTCAGACTGGTTTTTGAAATCCCCCCAATATGGCGTTTTGAAACACCAGCGAGGATGTGCAGAGTGTGGACATTGGCTTCATATTGCTTGAAGCTTCCCTTTCTACTCCCTCAATCTGGTGCCATTACCGTCAGAAAGAGTAGTAGCAGCAGGAGGCGACTTGACTGTCTCTCGGAGTAAGTGTGTTTCTTTTGTCACCGACACAGTGTGTTTCTGCCCAAGAATGCTACTGTTAGTTGTATAGTTTCTCTCACAGTTTGCCTCTCGTTTGATATTCTGCTGGCTCTCCCCTAGGTGCCACACTGAAACGAAAGCGCACAAACATTTACAATTCCACTTTGGCCACAACAAAATCCTATAATTTGCCTGGCATTAATGTTGGCCTGAAGCTAGATAAAATGTTGTATCCTTTTAAAATAGCAGCTCAAAGGGCTATTCTGGGCCTGTGTATGGTTTGTTGTTTTTGGATGCCCTTGGGGTTTATCCGTAGATCCCAATGGAGCTTTTGAAAATGGAATCCACTTTAGGTTTTTGGAATATACTGTCTTTAAATAAAAAATACTATCTTTTGGTTTTGCGGTTGAGGTGCTTTTTAACTTTAGCCGTTTGGGCTTGTGATTAGAACCAGGTCCTGGCTTCCAAATTCTAAACTATTGACTAAACTATTTTTTTTGGCTATACATTCGACAAATAGTTTTTTTTTTGCAAGTACATTTAACTCAGTGAATCTTATGGTGTTAAGGATGGTTTGACAAAATACATGATTCCATACTTGGTAAAATTCCTTTTTAGTGGGTTTTTTTTTTTTTTACAATTTTGTCGCCATGTTTTAAAAGGAGGTAGACTAATTGAGAAAAGCAATGTCTGACAGCCTTACTGTTTACGTCACATTTAATTACAGTCATCATTAGGAAATCTGTTTACAGGCTTGAGGAATGTGAAACATATAAGGATGCTGTTTTCCACACTTTACGCAGTGCTAATAAATCATCAATCAAAATGTATTTGTATTGCAACATTCATGCAAAAGAGATTATCAAAGTGCTTCACAACAGAATGAAACATATGCAGATAAATATAGACATAGTACAAAACATTACCATAATAATTCAACAGTGTAATTTCATCCACTAACGGGAACATTTGCGTTTCATATTGTGACATCCCTACTCGACTCTGACATATTCAAACACACCTGAACTTTTATGCTGGTGTCACTGTATTTTAAATTGGCTTTTACACATATTATATCTTGTTATTCCTATCCCTGACATCTTACTAATGTGTGTGCAAATGATTATGAGAATGCCATGCACAGATCTTTAGAGGCTGACAGCTGGAGGTCTCTGGATTGCACTGGGCCACAACACCCAAGTGGACAGCCCCCGTTCAGACCCTCTCTCTGCTGTGCACATCAAGGCAGCGGAATACAAATGAGCTGTTTAAACCAATCCGGCACCCACTTGGACACAAACCTGCAGCGGCTCGCACAGATAGCGCACGCACGTTAATAATGCATTTTGACCAAGTGCATCGGGGAATGTATATTGAGTTACCATGCAAAGCACTCAGCCACAAACTTAATTTTATCCTTAAGTCTTTTGAATCTTCACATTTGGGCCGTGTGTGTGTGTGTGTGTGTGTGTGTGTGTGTGTGTGTGTGTGTGTGTGTGTGTGTGTGTGTGTGTGTGTGTGTGTGCGTGCGTGCGTGTGTGTTTTAAGATGTAGAGGAAGTTATAAGAGGGGAGACAGGGGATCAGATTAGGATAGCGGTGCACATCTGTCAGTATGCAGCCATCTTCCACACCATTAGATTAGGCCTAATGAAGACAATGCAGCATGGAGTGCTTGTTTGTGTAAGAAGTGCACCCAGACGGTGCGAGGGTGAGCGGACAGACCTTCAGAGCTGAAGTCAGCGCTTTGATAAATGTGCCACTAAAGCGTCAAATCATATTATCTTAAAGAAGAAATATCATGCATTATGTTTACCCATCAAAAAGGCTAATGAGTATGTTTACTTTCTTGTTTTAAATGTGAAATATTATCTTAAGTCAAAAATATACGGTAAAACAAGTATGCAAGGTAAACTATGCAATCCCTATGCAGCCACAGGGGGGAGGTACATGTGTTGTGTTACTTTTTCGAATTAAAAATTAACAGCCATGTGTTTGTAAGGAATGTAATTTCACCTGAGAAAATGCCAACACAATTTTTTCTGCAAATCTGTAAAGTCTTAAGAGACTCATGAGTGTGAGTGTAGTGTTACAGTAGTAATTTTGCATCATACAATCACAAGACTGAGAAAGGAGAAAAGTTACATGTTTGTGGCAGAAGATTCTGAGAACAGCGGGGACGAAGAGATAACTTTGTTATAATGGTTTAAAGTTGTAAAACCTGGATTTGATTCATAATATGTTCTCATAATAAAAACAACATGTTATAGCGGCAAACAATGCGAAGTGCAGTGATGGCAAGAAGATGGTTTGTGTGAGAAAGATGCAAGAGTTGTGGACGGGTGAGTGAGAGATTGAGAGAGAGAGATCTTTTCCACTGTGCTGCTTCAGCCTTCCTTTCAAATTAGAACAGAGCCGTCTCCAGAGAATGTGACATTTTCACGGAGCGAGCCAGCAAGAGATGGAGGTGGAGGGGGGAGAAGGGGCTGGGCAGAGTGAAGGAGGGACGCGGGTTGGTGTTAGAGCCGGACGGGGAGAGTGATGAGATGAAAACTGTGTGTGTGTGTGTGTGTGTGTGTGTGTGTGTGAGTGTGAGGGTGGGGTTATTAGTCCACCCTCCAGAGGCTACTAATGCACTGACCTTCATTAACTGGCATTACTGTTGGTGTGTGAGAACGTGTGTGTGCAGCTCTTTAGTTAACACTCATTACAGAGTCTTTGTTTAAAGGCCAGTAAACTAATGAAGCCGTTAAATAAAGTGAAGAAATCCTGATTTGAGTATCGGAAACACAGGCTTAAGTGTCATCAAAAGTCAATGGGATACGGTGTCTTGGACACAACTCAAAATTGCCTTTTTGCGGTTGCCTTGAAACGGTTATGTCCTCAAATAAAACTTTTATCGAATCAGCAGATTAAATGGAGCATTATTATACGCAGAAACCAGTTTTTTGTTATTATCTCGGCGAGTGAGATGGGCCAATCTGGTTAATTGCAATGGATTTTTTAGGGTGAAAGAGCGGCTCCACAATAATATACGGCTGCTTCATTGGTCGGATTCTATTGAAAATGTGGTTTGGAAAAAGGATACAACTTGGCTGAAAAATTTGATTGTGTTTGATCAATATTGTGTGATAAGTGTGTAGTGTATGTGCAAAAGATGAGCAGATATCATTCAATACTTTTAATGGTCCGTTATGTTGCCACACAACTGTGTATATATATGTATGTTTTTTGACTGTATAAAGCAGTAATCTGATGTTTATTTATCTGTTCGCAGGCTCTCCTTGAAACTCAGAAACAGTTGCGCTCTCAGATCTCCAACTTTACCTTCAACTTGGGCTTCTCTGGAAAATTTTACCACACAGGTGCAGTACACTCTCTTTTTTTCAATTTACAACACTGTGGATTTTTTTATTTTTTTTTTATGAACCTCATCACAAAGAACTTACTAACTCTAAAATATGTTGGGTGAAAATGTTACTTTACAATATTTTCCTATCTCTGTTTAGTTGAAATATCACATTATTAAAAATGGATTTCAGCCTAATTTCTGGAGTTACCTTCTCGGGACAACTTCTGGGTCTGTTCATTCATTTTAATGGAAAATCTTGTTGCTCAAATAACCCACTACTTTCACCATAGCCCTACGGAGCGACATAATGTTCTAACAGGGGAAGTGAGAGCTGCTATTTAGGGCTATTGAACATATCCAAAGCGACTGTCTGAGGTTATCGGCAAACAATATTAAGGCAAGGCAAGGCAAGTTCTTTGTATAGCGCAATTCATACATAAGGCAACTCAAAGTGCTGAACAAAATAAGATAGCATTAAAACCATAAAGAATGCAAACAAACGGGAAGCAGCGACGGGAATGCCAAAAGAACCACTACTCTACACTACATGAGTCTGACCTAGTTCAGAGTTCATTTTTACTCACGGAATAATGTTATAGGTAGAAGTTAATCCGATTTTTTGTGAGTTTTGTTTAGATTCCGTCTTGTATACAGATTCCAGTCTAATTTATTTTCTAATCTTCACGTGCTGCTGTTTGTCCGAGCGTGTCATGTCAACTGAAAAAACTGTGCTATTACGAACTAGACCTTGCCCACTGAAAGGAGAGAAATAACCAACCTTGTCAAAAAGAGCTTCAGCAGTATTTTGATGAGTACAGTGTCAATGCCATGATTTGTAATTTCAAGCTGTTTTTTATCCACAATCTAAAACTGTTCAAAATTAGTATGATCTGCAACATGTATCAGTTTCAGATTCAGATTCATTTCATTTGCCATTTGCAGTAAAACCACATTGGAATACATTTGCAAAAGTCCCCAGTGTGCATCAGGCAAGTACGTAAATAAAAAAATTAAAAAAATTCATAAAAGTGCTTTAAGAGAGATCCTTTGTTCATGGCACAGTGGGGAAATTTGATTATTTGTTTACATTTTATTCATTTTAATCATTTGCACTACAAACACAACATACATGAACTCATACTCATTAAACTATGACAAATTCTTTGACTGTGACGTCCTGGAAAGAGCTGCCTCAAATTAGTTAATACGCTACTAAACCTAATTTCACACTTCTACCACTGGATGAGAGTGGTGCGCATGCCAACCATCTTTTAATTAACGATTTCACACGCTTAAAAACGTAAATATTCTTAAGATAATTTCTATTGGACCAGATATAGAATAAGTATCAAACATGGACATCCAAAAGTATATAACAACCCCGTGGCCTTGTATATTACAGCACATAGATTTTCTCTCGGCATCTTTATGACTTCTGACGCATTATTTAGATTTGTTACGCTTTGTGGTTAGTGAGGGCAGCTTCTATTGATTTTTTTTTTTAATAACGAAGATTAATTTAAAGTAATGAGCTCAAAATCTCTATCTTGAAGAGATACTGTGAGTGCGCTGAAAGGGGATACAGAGCAGAATGTATCACCGTGGAAACACTACGCAGACCTATTTAGCAACATGACCTTAACACATCTGAGCACCGGGAAGGTTCGGTGATATTATAGACACCAGGTTGTTTGTCTTATTGGTACGACACATGCTGACTTATTGCATTCTTTTGTGAACAGGCACGGTGCAAGAGGATGAGGGCGATGATTTGCTGTTGCGGTACGTGGATGAGTTCTGGTGGTTCCCTCACATGTGGAGCCATATGCAGCCGCACCTTTTCCACAACGAATCCTCTCTGCTGGACCAGATGGTTCTCAACAAGCAGTTTGCTCTGGTGAGACATCACTACCAACACACACACACACACACACACACTCATGTCCTCTACAGCTGTCTTTTCACCGCTGTCTGAAATGTCCTTTTAATCACACTTTCTCAGTCTGATTGCATTTCACTTCAAGGACGTTCATGGCCCACGGCAATTGTTTTGTTGACACCCATTTATATGGTTTCTTAAAACCATTCTCTCACTACTATAAAGGAGACAACTTTTTTAAGATTATAGCCAAATTACAACATTGATCCCTTCTCAATAATAGACTGGCACAAACATGTTATTCCCTTCTGTCTAGAAGTTCCTGCTTTTTATAACAAAAGTTTTGTCCATGAAATAGTTTTGGCATTTTTTCATATTAAATTATGATCTCTAAAATCCTAATTTTCAACAACAACAAAAATCCAATATTTAAAAAAAATATTAATTATAACTTCTGGCACATTCTATAAGTCTCTGTAAATACAGAATATCACACATTTCTTGCACTGTATCACCACATGAGCTAATCTGAATTAGAATTCATAGCTTGTGGTAAAAGTGAAAACCTTATTGTGAATGAAGCAGATTAGAGTTCACTCAAACAAGCTCAGTGGATGAACATTTTGAGAAAAAAAATGTGGTTAGCAACAACCCAGCAACCAAAAAGTCGATCAGGAGCGGCATAGGTCAATTTCTGCTCATGCTTCTTGCTAGCTAAAGCTGAATTTGGGAAAAGAAGGCACATGATTGGTCATTTTTTAGAGCTCATCTCTTGATCTTCAATCACATTTGTAAGTAAATGGTAGCCAAAGCGAGTTGGAGCAAACCTTCATCCATGAGCACTTGCCTATTAGGCTTCATAGATCATATGTTCTCCCCGCGCCTGCTTAGGTTTCCTCCGTGTGCTCTGGTTTCCCCTACCACTAAAAACATGCACACTAGGTAAAATCCTCCAGCTCTGGTCCTGATCAAGCCGAGCATCAACATCTGGAGATGGGTTCCCGGGCGCTGTTAGGCAACCACTGCTCCTGATGTAAGCCTTAGTGGCATCAGGATGGGTCAAATGCAGAGGATGAATAGCCCTACAGGGTTTATTAAAGTGCACCTTTACTTTTACCTTTACTTTTAGAGTGAGAAAGGTTTGCATTGTCCATCTGTATTCAGTCAATGCTTTAATTGCCCCTCTATACAGTCTCAAAACATATACACTTCCTGATTTAGCGGCTGTGCATGATGTCAAGAGCCATTGTTGCCCCTATGCGCCTTTGTTAGCGATTCGCATGACCGACCGTAATAGATTGTCATGTCACACTTGTAATAAAACGTGAGCAGCCCAGTGCACATTTGCAGAAGGTGAGTGCGGTCGTAAACAGTGATCCCTAACCTCTAGCACACATCTGCTCTCCCATCGGCTGCTGCTGTGCTGTGCTGTGTGTAGGAGTGTGTCAGGACCAAGGACAGTGCCATCAGTCTGGAGGATGCACCTCTGGATCCATCCACACTCACACATTTACATTTACTTTTTTATAGGTCAGAGAATAAACAGTTTGCATACAAGGCCAGATCTATTTCCAAGGTGTGTATCTATGTCCAAGTACAAATTACAAGTAACTTAGGTACATTTACAAAATGTAACAAAAAGAGTAATAATACTAACATAACACTTGTGGATGCTCAAAAAGGAGTGGGACGAAGCAAACACTTTTTTAATCCCACCCCTAATTACTTCATCTTGATCTTAAGCAACAAATACCAACATTGGCAACAAACAGCAAATATCAACAGTGTTAAGGAAACAATACTTGTAAGTAACAAATACATGTCATCTCATGTACATTGTATTTATGTGTGAAAGTTGTTATCATTAGCAAATTAATAATTGGGCGGCACGGTGGCTGAGTGGATTGCAATCTCGCCTCTCAGCAAGAAGGTCCTGGGTTCGAATGTCGGTTGGACCAGGGCCTTTCTGAGTGGAGTTTGCATGTTCTGCCCGCGTAGGTTTCCTCCGAGCACTCCGGTTTCCCCTACCACTAAAAATATGTACAATAGGTCTGGCATGCGCCTCCTGTACTGGCGACCCCGCTCCCATCTCTGTGTGGAGTGAGAGACAAATGTCCAAAAAAAGAACAAATATTACAATTGTAAACCGCTTTGTGACTCTGGTCTGTGAAAGGCGGTATATAAATAAATATTACTTACTTACTTAATAACAAATAAAAAAAATCATATAGTTTTTATTTGACAGGTCCCTGCAGTTTCTTGCGGTAAACGCTTTTTGTTGTGTTCTTTCAATGGTTCATTGTTCATTCATTCACACACTAAGGATGCAGAGCTAATGCAAAGTTTGGCATGTGGCACCACCATAGATAATATTAATAATGCATCGGTATTATTCACTTTTTGGACATTATTCACTCCATACAATGTGGTGGTAAACTACTATAGTGTGGCAACCGCTGCCCCGGGACAGACTTACTGAAGCAAGGCTCCTAATCTGAGCCATCTGCCCCTCTCACTCTCTCACGCACACACACATAAACACACAAAGCCGCTTCACTGTAGCACATGTGATTGCATACCAGCATATACATTAGTGCATATAATTAGTGTATAGCTGTTACAGATGATAGTGGCGCCCTAGATATACAGCTTCATATTTACTGTTATTGTTGATTGAATGACTGTGGATTTCAAACCAGTGCATTCATTTTCCGCAGCTCCTGAAGGGTGTGAACCTCCTGCTCTGCATGTACATGGTCAGATAAGTGTTCCCCCTCCTTGTTTACCAATGCGCCTCAATGTCTTTCTGTAGGAGCACAACATCCCAGTGGACATGGGCTATGCTGTGGCCCCTCACCACTCGGGGGTCTACCCAGTGCACATGCAATTATACGAGGCCTGGAGAAGGGTGTGGAACATCCGGGTAACCAGCACAGAAGAGTACCCCCACCTCAAACCTGCACGCTATCGAAAAGGCTTCATCCACAACAACATCATGGTGAGCATAATGACAGCGAGACCTGGGCTGTTAGCACACTAAACTACTCACACTAAACTACTCACCTGCACATGACTCGGCCATGCAGAGATGGGAGAATACTTTGGAAATTTATTTAATTTTGAAATACTGAATTCTTGTTTAACATGTACTATATTGAAATACTACATTTATGCTTATTTGAATTATAGAATTATATAAATAAGATATTTTTTAAACATACAGTTATAAAAACAAAAGTTTCTATTGGTTCGTAGTAAGTAAATAAGTCATCTTTGTATATCTATTTATATAAAGTATCTGTATTCTGAATACCATCAAAATAAGGTAATTATTACTATTATTACTAATTATTACTCTAATGAGTTATTTATTTACTTAATAATATAATTGTATTCTTGATGTGTAATAGTATGCCCGGTACACCAGTTAACTCCTGAATATTAGTATATGTTCTTCATACAAAGTTGGGAACACATTAAAGTGTCTCTGTTAGCCTTAATAGATGTTATGTATTGAAAAATATATATATTTGCATATTATATAAATATGGCTGTCCATGTGTTTGGAGCGCTAAAACAGACTTGCAGCACAAGGATCACTGCAAATGAAAAAAACAAGGCCAAATAAGGTAGCACTTCTCAAATACAAACTTGGTGTATTTGACTGATTTTTCTACTAATGGAAAAGTGTTTTCTAACTTGGTTTAAAGCTCAGTGGGATTTTAAGTGAGAACTTGATTGTGATTAAATTTCACCAATACAACATCATTAACAACAACAACATAATCAGATTTTAGTTTTCCTTCTATTTAGAATTCCAGAGATCATAAAGATGAAAATGAAAATTGCATTTGAAGTGTTAGCTATTACATTATATTTTCAAAGTTTAAAAATGACTGCAAACAAAGGCTTTGTCATTTTACTTGTGTATATTCCAAAATTAATTTCTATAGAATATTTTTGGTTTAAAAGGCAGCAAATCCGCTCAGAGTGCATTGTACTACAATGCCATCATAACATTAAGGACTGAGACTACTGATGAGGAACAATGTTGTAACATGTAGAAAACCTCAACAAAGTTGGTTTTGCATAATGTGTCCTTTAACAAAAGCATACATTGAAACTGCTGGTTGTTGTTCCATTTCCCCGTTGGTCTTATTCACTGAGCACATGTGTGGGAGGACATCTTTGACCTTGTCTCCACACACAACTCTCCATCTTACACAGATTCAATATTTAATCACCGCCTCATGCTGGGCTTTGTGTGTTATAGCACTTGTAAACAGCCCAAACTCGAGCTATTTATTTCATAATTCATCAGAAAAAGCAACTATTGTCGGCCATGTTCTATTCTGACTTCATCTCCACCTCCTTCGTCATTCTTCTTCATCACTTGCCATTCTCAAGCTTTTGTCACTTTAGACAATGAGACCTATTGACAAAAGAAATAATCACTGCCTGACAATAAAATTACAATTCGTCCAAGTCCCAATCAATTCAAAAATGTGCTTTTGTTTCGTGTCAAGTCCTTTTTGATGGACGCGGCTTTTCTTCTGCTTTATTTAGATGTTGACAGTATGACACGTCTAGATTTGTCCGTTTACATGATCGATAATAATAATGAATCACTATTCTGTGTCCCACTTCAATGGGTGCACAATTTAGATATTTGGGACATGAAAAAAAAATACAGGGGAAATTGGGGTGGGTCTACAGGGCTTCACATAGACTAAAAAAATCTATCATAAATATCAGTTAAAATAAATAGTAAATCCATCCTTTTTCTTTCGCTTTATCCATGTTTGGGTTTAAACAGTAAAGCCTTGACTTTCCGTAATCATAGGGAGGCGTCCAGAAGACCTCTATAACAGATTTCAGAGACAAATTGAAATTATATAAAGTATAAATGTAAATTGTAATACATGAATAGATTTACTTTAAAAAAAAAAAAAAAAAAAAACACCTGGCTGAGCATTTTGTTGGGTTCTATTCAGTTTTCTAAATCTAACAGCATACGCAATCATTTTGTATAAGGAAAGAAAAATAAGTTGATGAAACTACCCACATTAGCAAGAAAAGATTGAAGACTTTCAAGAGATGAAAACGTTACCATGAAAAACTCTGAAAAGGATTATTTGCGTGAAACAAATGCAGATTCCCGTTTGCAGGAAAACATTTTCTCTGGTACCTTTTTCACTATAGTAAATGTTGTCAATGCTGCAAAATCCCTCTGGAAACAGAACAAGGACAAATGCAAATTAGCGGGAATCCCTTGGCTGAAGTAAAGCCTTTCGATGATAGCGTTGTTCATGTTCAAAACAGGAGCGAGTGAACAAAAAGATCTTTAACATATGAACCTCCATTTGTTAATCAGAGTGGACCCGCTATCACACTCGTCCCAACAGAGAGCTTATGATTGTATATCCTCTGGGAATTGCAGATTTTAAAATATATGTAGTGTATGTGTGTATATTTTCACATACCTACACACACGCATACACACGCACACACGCACACACACGCACACACACACACGCACACACACTATATTATAATACTAATAACAGCATAAGGATCTCAAAAATGCTGAAAAAGTGAATTTGTGGCCCCTATACTGGACATGAGACTGGACTGAGAGGCTGGGCTAATATCGCACGTTATACATCATTTTTAAGCTAATTTTATTAAAAAAATCAACCATGCTAATATGTAAGAAATCAAAGTAAATACCATGCAATATTGCGCCTTCTGGTTCCTTTGCACTGAAAAAAAGATACAAAATTATATCCATAGTCTTATTCAATGAAAGTATTTCATTTGGTCAAAATACCTTCATGATAAAAAGCCACACGTGCAAAACGCTTGATTCTTGGTTTCCCTGCTTTGGTCTCTCTCTCTGTTCATTTACTGCATGCACAAACATTTACTTTCTATACTGTTATTGTTAAAGAATGAGGATTTGGGACAGTTTGACTAAGTTTTTTTGTTTATCAATCCAGGAGCTTAAGCTTTGTGCATTCAAAGTAAGATATTGTGTGAAGTTGTAGTGGTTTGATTCTATATCTGCATCCTGTGGATCCGTTTGCTCCAATGTGCATATATTTTGCACATACAAATACATGAGTTTGAGACCCCTACTTTTGCACATGTATTACTTTTTTTAAGCATGCTTTTTTTAAGCATGCTTTATCTGCTGATAGTTCTCAACAAAAAACACTTGGACCTTTACTTAAGACAATTAAGATTAGGCTTTGTAGCTGAAAAACAGCTGCAGTACATTCAAAATGCAGCAGCTCGAGTCCTGACTAGAACCAGGAAGTACGACCACATTAGTCCAGTCCTCAGGTCTCTGCATTGGCTTCCTGTGGCTCAGAGAATAGACTTTAAAACAGCTGCAGTACATTCAAAATGCAGCAGCTCGAGTCCTGACAAGAACCAGGAAGTACGACCACATTAGTCCAGTCCTCAGGTCTCTGCACTGGCTTCCTGTGGCTCAGAGAATAGACTTTAAAACAGCTCTGCTTGTGTACAAGTCTCTCCATGGCCTCGCACCAAAATATATTAGTGACATGTTAGTCCCATATGAACCAGCCCGGACTCTGAGGAGCACAGGGACTGGACTCCTGTTAGTGCCCAGAGTCAGAACTAAACATGGGGAGGCTGCTTTTCAGATTCATGCTGCTAAAATCTGGAACAATCTTCCTGAAAGTGTGGGACAGGACTCCACTTGGCAATGTTTAAAACCAGGTTAAAGACAGTTCTGTTTAGCTGTGCATACAACTGAGGGATTTTATATTTTTATCTTTCTTTTTAATGTTCTGTGATTATTTATGATTTTAATGCTTTCTTATTTTGTTCAGTACTTTGAATTGCAATTCAAGGCATGCCTTGTGTATGAATTGTGCTATATGAATAAACTTGCCTTGCCTTGCCTTGCCATAATCCAGGATATTTACAGTTAAACAGTTTATTAGAAACAAGACACAAAATATGGGAGGAACGGAAAATGAAACAAACAGATATTTAAACTATTTGTCAAAAACGCGATTCAAAATCAGCCAATCGTCCCTCAAAGCCCATATACTGCTTTCAGCTTCCTTCACTTTTCTTGTCTTTAGTTGAATTCCTTCCCCTGTGTCCAAGCAGCGCCTCTGTCTGTCTCAGTTTGCTCGAAGGTGGACAGGAGATTGTCTTAGGGCTGTAAAATGGGTGTAGTGCGTCTTCGGCAGGCGATTGAGAGCCACCCACCGGACCCTGGCACTATCAGAACAAATCAGATTGAGCTACGGCGAGTGCATATGTGTGTGTGCGTGCGCGTGTATTTCTCTTTAGACCATGCTCCATCACTTTGAGCTACGGCCGTGTGGATAATTGGTTTGGTGAAATAGTGCTGAGTGTCTGTGGCGGTGCTTGGTGGCCTTCTCTCTCGTGTTTTATGGATAAACCAATATCACAGTGACTCAGTATTTCACGCTGACGCCGCTCCACCAGGAGTTCACGATGAAGACCCCCTTTTTCTCGCACGCTGGCTTTAATTAAGTCAATGCGAAGTTAAGTCTGTGTCCTTTCATTGTGAGGTCTGGTAAGTATTTTTAACCTTGAGGAAATACTTGTTTGTGTCTGACTTAAAGAAGCTGTACCCGATTTTTTTTCTAAGTAGTTCATAAAAATGCTTTTTACTACATACAAGTTGTATCATAATACATCATTTAATTGAAAACTTGAGGTAATTGATTCAGCTGTGTATGAATTACAAGCAGTGAAAAGTGCTGAGTAGAGTCTGAGCGGGCCGCTCTTTCTCCTCCGCTCACAGAACGAGCAGCGAGCAGCCTGCGTCCTCTAGCCTCTACAGCGCTGCTTAACACCAGGGCTTCAACTTCAAAATTCGAATATAATTCTAAAATAAAAAATGATGAACAAAATAATTGAATAAAAAAAATTGAACAAATATTAGACAACCCTTGTAATTCGAAATGTATTTAATGACTGTAAATAAAATAGTTAGCTCCCAAAGGTTTCACCGGGACGTGCTAGGCAGGTAACAGCTAAGCTAGCTAGCTGTTTCATGGTAACTTCCGGGTTTTTCGCAATCGCTTTTTGTCACATTAACAGTATTTTTGTCATGAAACGTTAACAGCAAATTCTGAAATCATCCGTGCATGTGTGTTAAGGATGTACATGTATACTGTATTGTCCGATTGACGTTTAATGGTGTTGATTGATAGATATGTATTTGTTTATTGAGCGTGGCTAGCTCCGCTAGCTTCGTTGGCTTCTCTACACAGACGAGTGTGTAGTGACAGGCGCTGATAGCTTGTACTTGCGGAGTAATGGCAGTATTTTACACACCTGAATTACAAACAGAGGTTGCATTGGGGCTTCGGTCATTATTGGTTTGAGAGTTCTGTTATCAAGAAAAAATGATCGGAAGAATGTTGTACAGCTTACAAGAAGTTGCGCAAATGCTAATGTTAGCATACGTATCAGATCGCAAATAAAACTAGATGGCTCCGTGTTATGAGAGCGTAGGGGAAATGAGAAGCCTGTGAGCGAGTTGGGGGGCGGTGCTAAACATTCAAACATTGCAGAAACGGGTATAGCGCCTTTAAAAACGCATGAAAATAAATTGGGGGAAGGGAGTTTGGAGTATAGCATTTAAAGAAAAACCAATAAGGAATCAATAAGTGAGTTTTTCTGTCCAAAGCTGAGGTATACATAGTTCCCACAGACCAATGAATGTCACATGACCTCCTCGGAGACGCCATCTTTGATGGCACGCTGCTGTGTTTGTGCATTCCGTTAAACAGAAGAATGAGAATAAATGTAGATATTCAAACGCAAATTGGAAAAAAAGGGCAACTTTTGAGCAAATAATTGTATATTAATACAATGGCACCACAGTTTAACGTGCTACGGACATGTTTTACATATTTGATCAAATTATGCAGCAAAAATTAACAAGCAATGCAAACATTTCTCAAAAACTTTAGATTTAATACCAGTTGGAGCTCCATTTAATTATTTTAATTATATTAACAATTAATTTAATTAATGCTAATGCCACACGGACACTCTGGATTGCTGTTATTGTTTATTTCCGCGTTTTTGACCGTATGTTTTGGTGAATGGTGGGCAACTGATTTTTCCAGGCGTAAAGAGCAGTTTATTTTATGACACAGATCTTTTTACAGAAGCAAAGCTGTTTGTGAACATTGTTTTAGCCCACCATAGAACTATTATTATCTATTTAATAAATTTACGTTGCCCTCGAGAGCCTCGGACGCGACACCGATCCTCCTCATAATAAAGTAATCTAAATAATGAAACTCTCAAGTTACCAGATATCAGCATACACAAGTTAGTACTGAGTAAATTACGTCTGTCAACACATTATAAGATACGATACGCACCTGACACAAAGTGCTCCGAGCATATTCTTGCGTGTTTTGAGGGAGTTTCTTGCCTGTTTATCTTCGCAAGCCATAACCTCCGTGGTTGTTCTGACAAAAGCTTAGTCTTCTCACATTCATGAAGTCTAATGATGGGTATACTGTAAAATCCAAGTTTAACGGAACCTCCGGCACGATTTGAACATCCATTGACCCAGCAGGAGATGACCATTTTCAACTTTATCACGACATTAACACGTTTCAGCTTCTTTTTCTATTGTTTTGCCCACAGAATGCCAACACAAATGGCGCCGGGTCGGCAAATCCCCGTATGTAGTGACGTCATGTGGGAACTATGTATACTAAACTCTCAGACATCATTTACTAAAGTGAAAAAGATACCAGAGAAAATATATGATGTTTTCCAGCAAACGATCTTCTGCATTTGTTTTTTACGCAATTATTTATCTTCAGAAATATTCATCATATCATTTTTATCTCTTGAAATTAAACTTTGTAATACATTTTTATATATAACTAGTTCCTCACTCTCAAAACAGTGTCTTTCTATCTCTAGTTTCCACAGGCATGTATTTTTTAATCCGATTTTTCAGACAAGAAAGACCCACTCACACTCAGACAATCAGCCGAAAGCATCAATTAGTGACTCGGAGGGCTCTTTCTTATACAACTTTGCAAAAGATAGCATATTTTCCAACACGATGAAGACATTTCTGTTGTGACAAATGTATTATTTATGAAACAGAAAATGTAGGTACCCCCGCTATCCCAACACACATTATGCTTATACTTATATCAGTGCAGTAAAACCATAATAATAACTATAGCCCACAACACTAACATTTCAATAAGGATTTTAATAATAGGTCGCTTCCTGTTTGCTAAAAGAGCTGTAGTTGTGTCCACATGAAAACCAAAGGTAAAAATACACTCGTTAAAATATGGGTATTGTGCAATGTCCCTGTCAAATAAATTAATTAAAAGTAAATGCCCTCTTGAGGGGGAAGAAAGCGAAACAAAAAACATGATTGGCATGGAAGTGCTCAAGTATTTATGCTGTATGGAAATGTGTCTGTCCCCCTCACATCCTGCCAAATGGCGCGCTGTCAGATGCAGCGACTTTTCTCAAATTTGTCACCCGCTACTTAAAAGGAGCCTCTTTGGGAGAATGCTAATTCTTGAGAATAATTTTCCATCCAGTAATAATTTCAGTCCAAATCCAATTCCTTTGTGTTTGCGTGAAAGCAGAAAAGTTTTTCATTGGGGGGCAAGTAGAGGAGGAAGAAGTGTTTTTAAACTAGGGCTTCAATACGGTCTTTCATGTAAAAATAAGTATAGGGATTAATAAAAGTAGGTAAAGTAAGTTGTAGTTGTTTACCCATCATATTTGTTGACTTTTCTTTCTCATAATGCCTATGGTAAACTTATGGGCTGGGAATCAACTCAAACTAATGAATGACAAAATGAGATTAATTGAAAAACACCCGAATTAATTGTAATTGATTGCTAGACATAATTTTATTAGTGTGATGTTTTTTTTAGTAATAATTGAGACACTTTAATTTCTAATCATTTTCCTGATGAAAATAGATCTCCTTTCCAAACCCACAGAGGCGAAATGCAGACTGTCATACGCCGGATTTTGATTTGTCAATAAAACACCTCGAGCTCCAGTTTCAGGCTGATTAAAGGTTAAACATTATTGGACTTTGAGAGATTGCGCGCTCACATTCCTTAATCAATACCACCCCTAGAAGAAAACGTTACTCCCACTATATGCAGCGATAATACTTTATAGCCTGCTGAGGACAGTGTTCACCTGTTCAGATGAGATTTAAATCCATTTTACTTGCTTCGGCACGTGACCAAAGGATGATGCGGCGGTTGTGCAGATCCCATAGGTTGCTCTTTCCGCCTTTGCACTGCTGACACAGGTGGGACTGGGCATTGCACTAGGAGCATTCGTGTGGAAGATCAACCTTACATATGACTCAAAAAGCTTGTCCTTTCCAGCAGAAGCTCTCTTTGCTTTAAAAATCCCAGTTGGAACGCTGACTTGTCCACTACATCTTAAGTGAATGAGCGTACACTTACTGAACTGTGCTCTATAGTAATGCTCTCTGTGTTTGTAGGTGCTGCCTCGACAGACGTGTGGCTTGTTTACGCACACAATCTACTACAAGGAGTATCCCGGAGGACCCAAGGAACTGGACAAGAGCATCCGTGGAGGAGAGCTCTTTCTGACTGTGCTGCTCAATCCGGTAAGTCTTATAATGACAGCACGTCTGACTTGGACACAACATACTGTATATCCTATGTTAGTGATTCTTTGTTCCTCGTTATACCTCCATAATGCAAAAAAAGAAAATAATACTTTGGTATAAAAGTATAGTAATTATGTATTTTAAAATTTAGCTTTTTTAGCCAAAATAATTTCTATTTGCTCAAGATGTTTATAGTTATTTGTATCATTGTATAAACAGTCTTTGCTTCTCACGATACGAAGTCATTTTAAAACAACTTTTTCCACTTAACTGACAATTAGGTTTACTTGACTGATTATTAATTCAATTCTAGTAAATGTTTTACTCACTACTGTGATGAGATAATTGTGCTATCAATGCTTTTCACCAAATTTACATTATTTCATAAAGATGCAATAGTGTACCTATTGTGTCTATATGAAAGAATGTAAATTTGGTGGGATGATAAATTTGGCAAACTTTCTTGGGATCTGTTATCACAAAAATCCAGAGCTTTAACTACATCAGACAATAATGTTATGTGATCGCCAAGCCATGTTTTACATAATTTATGTCTGCAAACATAACTCACTTTAGATTCAGTAGAAACATGAATATAGCCTAATCTTCCATGGTGTGCTGGTGGGTGCCATGTGCATACAACACAAAGAGAGAATTCCCACTGTGACGTCTAAACTGGGCTCTGAGTGCAGTCTGAGTTCCTTCTTCTTCTTCCTCTATTTCTTAGGCGAGCTTCTTGTAGCCTTTCCCTCTTGTTGTTGTGATTTTTGCACCTCAAAGACTCTTGGGTTCACACGCTTGTTGCAGCGGAATCTCGTATGTGTCTGCTGCATTTTCTGCTCGTCAGCGGCGGCCGTGTGCTTCTCTCTCACCCCCCCACTTTAAATTAGGTCTCACCACAGGGGGGTTTACTGTCACTTACACCGACACACACCCCCTCTCTCACACCCCCGCTGCGCCCATGTCAGCGCGCCTCTCCTACGCCTTTGAATTAAAGAACACAATTGGGTTTTGGTGGCAGTTAGGATGCACATGAGTGAATGCGTGAAGCATGGAAATCTATCTTTGGATTCTTGTGTCTCACGCCACAGGGTGGCAAGACTAAATAAACACAACGCCTGTAAAGTAACTGTCCACGTCTGTAAAGTAATTGCACAAGTCTGTAAAGTAATTGTACAAGTCTGTAAAGTAATTGTACAAGTCTGTAAAGTAATTGTACAAGTCTGTAAAGTAATTGTACAAGTCTGTAAAGTAATTGTACAAGTCTGTAAAGTAATTGCACACGTCTGTAAAGTCATTGGACACATCTGTAAAGTCATTGCAAAGTCTGTAATGTAACTATGTGAGGAAGGGAGGAGCTAGAACAACTGCCAAACATTGGAAAACATCATGCAGTCCAGTGACTGAGTGACGTACTCACAAAAAGCTGTGAAAAAAGTGATTCTTCAAGCTTTTCCTCAGGGTTGGAGTTGGAAGGCTTTGTTATTTCAGAGAGAATGTTTTGGGCACCCAATACAGGCCATTCCGTTATACAAAACATAAAAAAAGAATTTGTCTACATAACATAATAATAATAATAATAACAATAATGATGTTTTTTTCTGCATAGGTGCTTGTTGAGAGACAACTGGTTGATTGAGATATACAGTAGTTGCCTTGGTAACATGTTATGGCCTAAACGGCAAGCCATCTTCAGAACTCTCACCTGCCTATGATGTGTCATTAATCAGCGAATGTTACTTCATGAGTAGCCGGGGTCAGCCTGAATGACCTGACAGGTCGCTAAGACTGACCTCACCCGGTATTGTCTGGAGGTAGTACCATGTAACGGCATGGATGATGCTGACGTTCCTCCGGGCAAATGACAGCATCAACCAGGCTGACCACGCCAACTCAGGAAGAACCATCGGCCAATCGGTTACACGTCACCAATGGGTGATGGTTCTGAAGATAGCTTGAAGCTCTGCAGCAAAAATATGTTATCAAGGTAATTACATCTCAAACATTAGTTGGCTTGGAGTAAAAAAAAAACTCAAAAGCAGAAAAACATGAACCTGCTTGTGCTAATAAGATTATCTTACAAAACTTTCAAAATACATCCAGCGAGGGAACCGTACAACTTTCTGAAACAAGGATATCCATCAGACCTTACTTATTTGTAGATAACCCAGAAAAATGTGTTGTTTTTTACTTGAACAGGTCTGATATACTCAATGCAGTCTACAGTGGAAGTACTAACAGTCACTGTGTGTTCGTGCCTCATGCAAGCCTCTATCCAGTGACGTGTGGTGAGGTTGGTGATCTGTGAGGCACTGACTTCACCCCAATCAGAGGTACATATATAGATCATATTAATCAAAAGGACCTATAGAGCGGATTATTCACAATTTGTTTGGCAACAGCAGAATATTTTTCATGTCCGCATTGTTTGTTCATACAAAACTCAAAAGTATGTAAAAAGCAAAAAGTATGTAAATGAGTTATGGGTCTTACCTTAAATATAAACTGCACAGACCACTTCAGTTCAGACCAGTTTCATGTTTAAGTTCAGATAATGTAGATACAGTATGCAGATATGTAATCCTCCATTTGGAAATAAGTCCAATGAGTTTTAAAAAGTAAAACAAAACGGGTGTCTCCTCTCGTGTTTCGCTGAAGCCGACTCTCGGGTGCATCCAATTTCTAAAATCAACCATACTTTTCACTTTTCTTTCTTACAATTCATATTGTCATTGGAAGATTAGAATTACCCTAAGTGCATTTTAAATTATCTAAAAATGTGTTATATGTATGTTAGTCAAACCTGTAGCTGCCCTTAGCAGAAGAAGAACAAGAAAGGAGATTTCTGATCGAATTGGATGCAGAAGAATTCTGGGCTCACAAGCGCCCCATACCCTGAGGCTGGCCTCACAAGGTGATATTACAAGCTGTGGTTGAGCACGATTAAGACCCATATTTGATGTCAAAAACACAATTTATGACCCATTTTCTCAACTGTAGACATGTTGATTGTAAAGGAAATATGTTGAACTTAGTAAACGCACGGGCCTCTCCCCCAGTGAGCTATGGGCTCTTACGTCTCTCTAGTGAGGCTCGCCGCACAGCGCGCCGCTCTGTCAAATATGCGATTTGAAGGTTAAAAAAAAATGAAAAAAGGAAAAGTTACATTGAAATAATACAATAGCACAAATCACTTGATATAATGACCAAGTATTTTTGTTTCCATTTTATTCTTTTTTCTTCCCATGATCTTAGGTGAGGCCGGGCCTCACCTGTCTCATCTGCACGTCACTGCCTCTATCCATGTGCCCATTTATTCTGATGGCCTTCATTATTGAATTATTGCTTCCTGCTTCTGGACAGAGCAGTCGCATTCTCTTGCTGCTCCTCGCTTGCTGCTTTTTTATCTCCTTTAATCATTTTTGCTTACATTTTTATTCCACAAAACACGGATTACTCCTTTTTACAAACTTCAACACAAGACTTGTGGAATTTACCTAACTTACAGCATGTCGGGAGGACGGGAAAGAACAAAACTTTGCGACGGCTGTTTTTCACTCAAACAGGAGCTAAAACTTCTTCAAGACCGAATGTTTGTACTTGAATCAGAATTGGGGTTGAACACAACAATACCAGTGAAAGGAAATGGACCACATGGACAGAACGTAAGTTATGATGACGCTATTTCATTTCCCAAAATCAACAGAGACAATTGTTGGAACACATATGGTGCCAAGCCCAAACAAGGCAAAGCTAATGATAACAAGAGTGTCATAATGCCACAGCAAAAATCTTTAATTACAAGAAACCGCTTTTCACCACTTTTGGAAGATGAATCAGCAGTAGTCTCTACAACAAAGCTGCTAAAAACTGCAGCTCCTCCACCAAGGACAAACTGTGTCCTTATCGGAGATGGCTCGGTGAAAAATGTAAACATGGAGTCCATGCTCACTGTCTCAGTTCACTCTGCTAAAGTTGCTGAGATAAGAACTCTCCTGCCTAAAGTGTTATCTGAGAACAGTGGTGTGCGTACATTATTGATCCACACGGGGGCGGTAGATATCTATGAGAAGGCAAGCGAGAAGTTGCGAATGGATTTAACGCTGTTACTGGATGACCTCAAGAAAATGGACATAACAATTTTTCTTATTGGCCCACTGCCAAATATAGATGGAAAAATGGAGAAGTTTAGCCGTCTGTATCAGCTAAACACATTCCTACTCAATGAGTGTTCACGCAGAGGACTTGGCTTCATTGAAAACTTTAATCTGTTCTGGAATAGGCACGAGCTTTTTGAAGAAAAAGGCCCACATCTGAACAACTACGGAGTAAAAGTGCTGATGGATAACTTTGCATCTGCCCTAAGACCTCAGCCTGCGCAGCGCGTGCAGCCGTTGAAAGGGAGAAAGAAGAAGCAAAGGGCACAGACATCACGACCATCTCCACCGACTCCCGAGGTCTCTGCACCCCCACCGCCTCAAAAGAACTCCACACCTCCACGATTCAAGAAGAACTCAACACCTCCAAGGTTCCAAAAGAACTCAACACCTCCACGGCTTCGAAAGAGCTCAACGCCTCCACCCCCAGCATCATCAGCAGCTGCCACATCTTCATCAGCGCCATCAGCATATACAGCACCACCAGCAGCAGTGGATACAGCCGCAGCAGTGGCTGCTCCATCATCTTCAGCAGCAGCAGTGGATACAGCAGCAGCAGTGGCTGCTCCATCATCTTCAGCAGCAGCAGTGGATACAGCCGCAGCAGTGGCTGCTCCATCATCTTCAGCAGCAGCAGTGGCTGCTCCATCATCTTCACCAGCAGCAGTGGATACAGCAGCAGCAGTGGCTGCTCCATCATCTTCAGCAGCAGCAGTGGCTGCTCCGTCATCTTCAGCAGCACCTTCCCCACCTACAGCTCCCGTGAAGCTTCCCCCATTACTCCAGGCTACAGTCAGGCCTGTACTGGGGGTTCCTCAACCACCTCTGTCTCCACCAAAG